ATCTGTAATTTGTGAAATGCACCAGTTACTCTAAATTGGTTTGGCAGTCGATCATTCTGTTTCTTAGTTGCAATCAAGTAAGTTGTATTATGATATTGCAGTAATGCGGATGTGATCTAACCGATTTTCTGTAAAGTTAAGAGGCTTTTTGGGGGAAAAAAATAATGCGAATGTTCGATGCCCCTACCAGATTGCCTTGAAGTCAGCAATGGGGCGTAGCAGGTCACCAGCAAAGCCGACTGGAAGGGACAAGAGCAGAGAGGGGAGAGAAACCAAACGAGAGAAGAAAAGACGGAGAAGCTCCTCTTCTTCCTCGTCCTCCTCCTCTTCATCCAGCAGAAGCCACAGTTTAGACCGACAAAAGAAACGATCCCATTCCTCCAGCAAGAGCCAAGGTCACCTCATTCTCACATAGCAATCTTTCACAAACTTGCTCAAAAAAAAAAAAAGTGCCTTGAAGTCAGTTTTAATCCACTCAGTCTCTGTCTGAAATTGGTCCAGCAAATGTGTGGGGTACACTCTGAGTGTGGAGCTTTTCTCTGGATTGGGCTTAAAATTACAGCAGTAAGATAATTCTCTAAAGTTCGCTGGTAACTTCACTGTTTGAATTTGAATGCTTTAATTTTCATTTTTATATTATATAATTATAAAATGTGGTTAGGTAATTTCTACCTGTTCCTGGCAATGGTAATACATGTTAAAAATTGCTCATATTTTAACTAGGATGTTTGCTTGAGTCTTAAAAACATCTTTGGAGAATTGCTTTTACAGTTTACCTTCTCAGTTTAGCATTTTTAAAAAATATGAATTGTCCCCCATCCACCTTTTATAACAGCTCATCTGGTGTAATATGAACCTGGAGCCTATAACAGGATGGTCCTGTTCAGAAGGTGCGAGATCATCTTTTGTCGGGTAAAATTTTGACTCATGTAGACATACACTATAGGGAATTTACATACACCAGTTAAAGTTAAGCCAAAATTTTGGTCATAAGGCGCTTTCGCACCAAAGTTGTGGAACCTGGTCCCAGGTTACAAGTCCCTGGGCCATCGTGACCGATACCTTCTATAGCTCCCAGTCACTTGCGTGTATCGCTTTCACACCACACCACAGGAACTGGGACCTTTATGCTAAATAAGCATGGTCAACCAATCAGTAAGCTGTCGTGTAAGTGCCTCCCCGGAGTTTGTGTTTGAACGAAAAGCACCTAGTCTGGAGTAGGGACTAAACAAGGGTTCTGGAACTGCTTCTGAGGAACTACAGTTGTGCAGAGTTCCTGCGGTATGAACGTGACAAAAGTTCCTAGTTCTGGCTCTGGAAGAAAGTGTGGTAAGCGCCTATAATGACCTGGTGACTTATGGCTGCCTTTATCTGCAGAAAAGAAGCGGGATAAGAAACAGGCGAGGAGGAGGAGCTCTTCAACCTCTTCATCAGACTCCTCTTCATCATCATCATCATCTGACTCCAGTGATGAAGAAACCAGAAAGAAGAAGAGGAAGAGGAAGCTTAAGAAGATGAAGGCCCGGGAGAAAAAAAAAGAAAGAAAGGAAAGGAAGAAGCAGAAGAAGAAGATGAAAAAGCTGAGGAAGTTATCAGGGAAGGACACACCTTCGCTGCCCCCTGATCCCCAGACGCCCACCAATAAGCTGTCATGCTCCCTGGAGATGTGGCAGACTGAGGGCCCAGTGGAACATGGACCAGGTGAGGCTTTCCTTCAAACTGCCAGCAGGGTCAGCATCATCTCAAACACCAGCAAGGCTAAATATACCAATGGAGTGAAACGTAGGTTGTTAAAAGCAGCAGTCAGACGCAGTTAAACGTGCATAAAAACCGTGTACCTTCCTAAATGCTGCTTTTGCTCATACTAGGAGGTTAAATTTTGGATGAAATAGGAGTTGGGTTTTGTTTCGCCTTGCATGAGAGATTGCCAAACGCAAGCATGCATTTTTTCTGAGGTTCTTAATGATGGGTGCAGCTAAGAATTGCTTATTTTAGCAAAATAAATCTTGCAGTGTAGCTTTGAATGAGGTGGGTTGGAGCCAGTTGCAGAGTGATTACAGGCAAACCTGCATGTGTCCACAGTCATGACTGACGAACAGAAGGCACGGCTCTCCACAAAACGGCCCCTCACCAAAGAGGAGTGGGAGGCTCAGCAGAGTGTTATTCGCAGGGTGGTGGACCCCGAAACTGGACGTACCAGGTAGGAGGCACTAGTGAATTGCTGTATTCAACCATAGTGTTAATTCTGGATAATTGATCAGCTGACTGGATTTATATTCTGAACATGGTTTTAATGTACATAAATACAGTGAATATGTGAAGAGTTTCACAGCAAGCTTGTTTCTCTCTCTTGCACGCAGGCTTGTGAGAGGCGAAGGGGAGATCCTGGAGGAAATCGTCAGCCGAGATAAGCACAAAGAAATAAATAAGGTATGAGGCAGCCTGATTTGTTGGTTGGCCACACCCTTCCCTGGGGAGGTTGGGGCCACCCTTTCATTCCTGTCGTCTTCTGCATTCACAGCAGGCCACTAAGGGTGATGGCAGTGCCTTCCAGAGGAGGCTGGGGATCAACCGTTAGAGCAGCCTGCCAGCAGAAGGCCAGACCCTCCATGGACAAGGAGCAGCGGTGTGCCTGCAGCTCCACCTGTAGGCTGGTCCACGCTACAAAAATTTAATTTTTGATGGTCTTGGGCTTTTAGGTGGTCATTTCCATATTCAGCTGAGTTAGTCCTGGTTGTGTTGCAGTCAGTGCGTCGTTTTCAAAAGTTAGCATTGTTGGGCAGCATGGTCACACATGTCCAAGGTTTTGTGCATGCAGTGTGTGTGTCCTGCTGTCCATGTAGGTCTTCTCCAAAAAAACAAGTGATTTTGATTGAACTGACATCCTGTGCAAGATATGCCCAGTCCCAGGAAGCCAGGCCACCATAACACTGTACTGGATAAGTTATGGAAGCTGAATGGGTGCAAGTAATGCAAGCAGTTCTTCCCATGATAACTTTAGATGAGCAGATGGTCTAACAGACATATTTGAATATTTAAATACTTACATTTTTATATTTTCCAAACCAGTTTAAAAAAAGCCTCTATATTTTAGAGTAGATGGTGTTTCCCGTAAGAAAGAAACAGCCCAGATTTCAGGGTTATCTGTCATTTCTTAATATTTATTTATACACTGTACATAAAACACGAAAGAATGAAATAGCTGTCCAATTTTCTTTAGAATCCACATTGTCTACGACGTAATTGTACACAGAGCACTACCAGTTTTTGAAACGTTTGCACTAACAGCCAGGAAAGAGGAAAAAAATGAATGTGAGAAGTGATTACACACTAGCTCAGCCGAGTAAATCATTACCGTTACACTTTTTTAATAATCATGGGACATTACAATCGCTTTAAAAGCAGCAGACCCGTCATTTTGGACGTGTAATTAATTTTTTGTGTTACACTGATTTTTTGCCTGTAAAAACTTCCCTGTAAATTACCAATAAACAAGCCATTCTTAATCTCATCATTCTTTCAAGGGAAATCCAAACCAGCGTGAAAAATTTGAACTCTGGAACTTTTGGATTCTAAAAAGACATTTCAATGGACTGGGTGTGCAGAAAGATCCAGGAATATTTCCAAGACAGTACATATTTGTTATTGGACGAAATATACACTTTTTTCATGATTTAGTAAACTGTGAATCACAGTCACAATGAAGTCGAGACCTGTTTGATGAACCTGTGACTTTTCGTATATAAATATTACATTACTACTAAGTTTGAATTTGTATCACCTGTGAAATTAGCAAGAAAAATACTCTGAAGCCATTTGCCTACAGGTAAATAGAAAATTCTGAAAAATATTTCTGTGATTTTTTAATTTTAATTTTTTTTTTTTTAGAAAATTTGTGTACTGTATTTTGGGATAATAGTAAACATTGATGTCAGCTGGGTGTTAACAAGTGTTTCTGAGCTGGTTTGATGTTCTAGAGCTGTGATGGACTTCCTGTTGGACTTCCAATCCCATTTCCCCCAGTAGAGATAGTGGTGTTGGAAAAGCATGAAATGCTACTCCACCAAACACTGTCAAAGCCAAACTCCCATCAATACTGCATTTTCACAGCTGAAACAACCTGCAGTAGGTGATCCACACTCTTGACCATGACCATGTGATTTCTGTTGTAAGAATCCACATCAAAAAATGAATCTGGGAAGTGATTTGGATTTTTTCAAATCTCATGTTCTGGGATTGCGTGACATGGCCAGTAGTTGGTGGCCATTCTGTCTTTTCTTAGCACCAAGAATGAAATGATCAGAAACCAGAATTAAGGGAGGTGGTTCTCCAATGAAAACAATGTATAATTATTATGGCCTATAAATTGAGTAATAGATGAACGGCAGATATGCGACAAGGGCTGATGTGGAGAATGCTGTCTGGGTGGCCGCCTCAGACCTTAAGGACTGGGCCTCCTGGCTCTGGCTGAGTTTGCATGCTATTCCCATGTTATTCCAGCTTCTGCCAACTTTTTGAAGAGGCTGCGTTTGCATACTCTACCCATAATGCGTGTGGGTGTCGGCTGCCTCGTGCCCTGTGCTGCCTGGCTTATGCTCCATGCCCACTGACACCCTGCACTTGATAAGTAGTCATGGGGGATGGATCATTTCTACCCTCCATGTTTTCTCAGTGATGAATATTGTCAGCTCTCATTCTACACTGATAAATGAAAGGATCAGCACTGACATTTCAGTTGGAAATATCCTTTTAAAGGTAACTTTGTGAGGGAGAGGAAATCTGATGAAGGCAGAAATTTTAGGGAAGAGCTTAAAATCTGACATGAATAGGGGATGGAAAGACTGTAAAAGGAAAAATGATGATTGAAGGTGCATTGCAAAGAACTCCTCTTGATCCTGTCACCTTTCTTTGTGTTTGGGCTCTGCTGAATTCATAGTGTACTGGCCTGTTACACCTTTCAGGTATAAAATTTCTACAAAAGACAAACCCAACAGGTAAGGTCATGCAAGCAGGATGGCTGTATTTTATAAATGTACAGTTTTGTGCTGGGTATCGTTAAAACGTAAAGGACCCTTTTGTGCGAAACAGTTCCTGGAGGCATGCTGGGAATGAGTTGCGTCATTCTCCACATGCCGGAAGGCCATGCAGCTATCAGACTGACGCTGCCCCCCCACCGTCCGGCACCCACGTAGGTACGATCTGCCACTGCTGACCTTCGCTGGCATGCGCGGGGCGAACAGAGGGGTAGCGAGTATGAGAGACTGATTGTCAGTGCCGTGATGCTCTGCGCAGTGGCGTCGCTATGGTGACTGGAATATTCATTTGTTTAAGCGCAGACAAAGATTATCATTGGTCCATAAAAACAATCTTGTACACATCTGAAACAAGAAAAAAAGCTACATCTTTAAATATAATAAACCTGAAGGATCCATAACCTTATAAATCTGCATAAATAAATACTTCTCAGCTGTATATTCCTACTTTTCGTGACATTTACATAATCTTTACACTATCTACACTATGTTTATGTTTAATCAACTGCAAAGAGTCTGCAGTTTAAACTACTTCATGTGGCTCCATGCACCTCCATACCACCATCACGGTGAAGACGAAGTGAAAGGCTGTATCCGAAATTTCCACATGGATGCTATGAGGCTCTAATGTCAAATATTCTAAAACCACCCAATAAGATCCTTCCAGTGTATGCATGAGTGTAAATGATAATACTGTGCAAAGCAAATGACCACAAACCTTATTTTCTGTTATCATCCATGATTATGCTAGAATATACCCTTACAACTCGAATCGCTCTTTGCTCGGATTATCTGTAAGGACTTTGCATATATCCCTGTCACTGTTCTGCACTGAGTGCGCTAAGGTTAAGTCATGGACCTAGGGGTAAAAATTAAGCTGGTTCTGTTATATATTATACAAGCCTTCGTTATCCAAACTGTACAAGCGAGTCTTTTGCCTTAATAGAGCAAAATAAGCATTCGAAGCTTAAGTTCCTGTACATTAAATAGGAAATGTTGGATTCAGCCTGATCCACTTGGTATACATACATCTATTTCCTAATAAGGTATCTGTCCAATCCTGCTAGGGAAGAAATACACACAGAAGCAGACAACCTGTATAGGTAGTAAATAATAGCGGTCATGCACTACAAGATATCAATATGTAGCAACATGAAATGGTAACAAGATTCTCCACTATAAACTTAGTGCAAAAAAACAATGAGGTTATACAGTTGAGCTTCTACAGCTTCTTGAATGTGAGTTTGGCCACTGAATTGTTTTCAGTTCAGCTGTTGATAATAGTGTAATTCCCTGGTTTGTCCAACAGGGGGGCGCATGAGTGTCACCCAGAAGCACAGCCCCGTGAGGCTGAGCACCCAGAGTAGCCCATCTTTTCTGAGCCGCTGGCCTGCCCCGAAGACGCTGGAGCGTGCTGCCTTTGACTTTTGTCCTCAAGACCACCTGCTGGAGACCTGAGTCTGTGGGACAGAGGGTCGTTTGCGTTGCTCACACCACCCCCCCACCCCAAAAAAACCTTAGTTGGGTTTTTGCAGTCAAGATCTGTGAGAAAACCCCGACACCTTTCCCCAGCTGAAGAATGGCACCCACATATCTGAGGAATGGCGGTCGAAAAATGCGTGGCCCATGGAGGCGGGGTCAGGAAAGTGGGGCACAGGGATGGGGTGGCGCTAGTGGCTGTCAATCATGAGGTTTACAAAGATCTTCATGCTATAAACATGCAGCTGCCATAGACCCCCAATCCACTGGGCCAGGCCACACTGCTGCAAACCCGCCATGAAAAACCACTACTGGATTCAGATCTTGACTGATGAAGACTTTTCCCGGGAGGTATTGCATGTAGATCGGCAAGATAAAGGGATTGTTGCCTTATTACAAAGTGTCATTTTTTATCTACAAATCTTAAAGCAAAAGCCACATCTGCAAACAGCTTAACTCGACTCAACTGTCCCTACATACATCAGGCATCCACTGTACATGTTTTTTTTAGAGTTTCTTGTTTAATTGCTAAACTTCCTCAGTCACACTACAGCAAGGAGGAAGGGATAGTAGATACTGGGGGGCGGGGGGGGGGGCTCACACCAAAATGCCGCTCTGTTCTCCCACCTGCACCCCCCACCTCCTGCCAAACTCTCGGTGATTCTCCACGCTCTCACTGGTTGAGCGTCGGTTGCCCTTAAACCTGAGGCTCACTCCTACTTTCCGGTGTTAGGTTTCTCTTCCCAGGCTCTCGCTATTTCAGGTTTGCTGATGCTTCACGCCTTTGCTTGGATGGTTTAATAGCACCATGTGGATTTTTAATCATTGTTTTTTTTTTTTTTTGTTTTGTTTTTTTAATCGCTCTCGACCTATCCACTCTGCTGTCCTTTGACCCCAGGTGTAAGGGTGTGAGACGGCTGCCCCCAGATCCCCCTTCGCCCCTCCCTCTGTGCCTCATGTTCGTCGGTCTCCCTCTCTGTTCTATCCCCCACCCCCTCCCTACTTGGGGCTCAGGGCCCCGGCCTCCTGCTTGGTGCTGCCACTGCGGCCCCAGCAGCCAGCGGCAATGCTCATGCTGCGCTGGGCACGCTCAGTGCGCTCCCGCTCGCTGTCCGACTGGCTCTGTGTGCGCTCGGGCCGTCCGTGGCCGCCTGGCGTCGGCCCGCCAGCCGACCCGGATGTCGGCTGGGAGGAGATGGTGCGCAGAAGGTGGTTTCGCTTACGCAGGAAGTCGCTGTTGGCACCAAGGCCAAAGCTGCCCTTGCGGAGAACCATGCGGGCGCTGCTGGTCTTGGCCGGGCGCGAGCGGTGGTTATACTCCAGCTGGGAGAGGTGAGCTGCATAGCCATCAGTGATGAACTGCAGGGCACAGACATTTAGCATGAAGAATGATGTTATCAACACAACATGCAATCAAATACCAAAAACTGAAGCTACAAATGAAGCCAGTCAGTAATGGTGCTTGAGAAGGTTTCCAGAGTCTTTACACATGAAGAAGATTAAGTGAGACTGTAAAGTATTTAACTAAGAACAGGAATAGGGTGGAGCAGAACAGTTTAAGTAAGGCCAGGAGTCAGAACGGAGTCAGATACCTGACACTGGTGTTGCATCTTCTTAGTGGGACGGCCGACAATATAAATCTGAGACGGGGGCAGGCCTATGGAGGAGTAGACGGAGATGTCCTTGGTGGAGCCATACCCAGCAAAGATCTTCATGTGAGCCTGAGAAGAAGGACACAAGTGTCATGTTGACTGGTGTTCAAAGCTCTCTGACTACAGGGAATAGTTTTTAGGGTGTTTCACTTCCTCTGTCATAGTCAGTAGTCAACAGTTTCAGTTTCACAGGTTTTCCAGTCTAGCTGAAGTGGTGTCTTACATCACGTGACTGTGTGTGACAGTGTATGCTTTTCATTTTTGTGCCCTGAGCTTCTTGGGACTGACCCCCAACTGTATCCTGGCTATTAAAGATGGATGCATGGGAAGCATGCTGACAGTGACTAATACACAGAGTGCTGGAGTATAGAGCAAGACTCAGAAGAAGATTCGCATTTGAAATTTGTCACTACCATCTTCCAAATACTAATATAGCCCATTCCAGAGGTGGAAAACTACAAATCCAGACCAAGATTGTGTTTCAACCAGCAAGTTGAGTATAAAGAGCACTCAGCTGGACCTGAACTTTCCACCTCTGCCCCATTCCTGCCCCCTGGACCACCAACTCACCTCGCTGATTAGGGACTTCAGAAAGTTGGCTTTGTGCCTTAGAGGGTCGTGCACCAGGCCATCGCAGAAGGACACAATGCCATGCGGGAAGTTGTGTTGGGCCAACCAGGCCACCACACGCTGCTTCTGCATGTCGGGCCGACCCGTCACGTAGATGATGAAGTAGCCCAGGTCTTGCCAGTGCCTGAGGGACACACCAAAAGGTCTCAACATCTCTGTCCCAACGAGCAATTGGCTGGTGTCGACACAAATCAGCTGTAGGTCAGTCAGGGGTTGGGGAGCTTACCTGACGACATCCACCGCCCCGGCGCGCACCTTGGGGTCGCTGCCCATGATGGACACGCTGGCAGCGAAGGAGCCATCGATGCTGAACACCACAAACTCTGTCCCGCGTGGCAGCACAGTCAGGTAGCTGTCTGCGAAGGTGTGGTCACCCCTGAAACATTTAGTTTGGTGTGAGCTGAAGCCACTACAGGGATGGGCAATATGCCGATGTGTCACAGGTGTCACTTTTCTTTCTGTCAACTGTCCATCAAACTGCCAACAAGGCATTTAGAAACAATTTATAAATTCCAATTCTTGTTATAAAAAACAAACCAAGGACAAGGATGCCTGTAAATTTTGTATTGCAACTAAGAAAAATTTATGAGAGCCTTAAAATCCAGGATGAATGAACTATTTTTTTTCCCCACAGTTCACTTCCCATGTCCTTGTGAAAGCACCTAAACAACTAAGGAATGCCAAATGTGTCACACCAGTATCTACCAGATTTACTGCACTTACTGCGCTGGGAAGTAAGGACAGACTGTGTGGCAAATGTGGGACATACAGTATAGTGACAAAAGTATTGGGACACCTGGCCATTGCACCTACAGGAACTTTTATGACATCCCATTATAAATCCACAGGCATCCATATGGAGTTGGTCCCCCCCTTTCCACCTATAACAGCTGCCACTCTTCTGGGAGGGCTTTCCATTTAGTGTGTCTGTGGGAATTTTTGCCCATTCATCCAGAAAAGCATCTGTGAGGTCAGGCACTGATGTTGGTCATGAAGGCCTGGCTTGGAGTCTCCATTCTAGTTCATCCCAAAGATGTCTGACAGGGTTTGAGGTCAGGGCTCTACGCAAGCCAGTCAAGTTCTTCCACACCAAACTTAATCAACCAAATCTTTATGGACCTTGCTTTGTACACTAGGGCACAATCATGCTGGCAAAGAAAAGGGCCTTCCCCAAACTGTGCCCACAAAGTTGGAAGCATAGAACTGTCCAAAATGTCTTGCTATGCTGAAGCATTATAGAGTTTCTTTCACTGGAACTAAGGTGCCAAGCCCAACCCCTGAAAAACAACCCCATACCATTATCCCTCCTCCACCAAACTTTACAGTTGGCACATTGCAGTCAGGCAGGTAACGTTCTCCTGGCAACCACCAAACTCAGAATCATCCATCAGAGAGAAGTGTGATTCGTCACTCCACAGAACACTTTTGCACTGCAGTCCAATGGCAATACTTTACACCACTCCATCAGACACTTAACATTGCACTTGGTGATGTGAGGCTTGCAGGCAGCTGCTCAGCCATGGAAGCCCGTTCCATGAAGCTCCCAGTGTAGTTTTTATGCTGAAGTTAATGCTAAAGGAAATTTGGAACTCTGCAGTTATTGAGTAAACAGGGCATTAGTGACTTTTACACACTATACACCTCAGCATTCTGCGACCCCACTCTGTTACTTTACGTGGTCTGCCACTTTGTGGCTGAGTTTCTGTTATTCCTAAATGCTTCTATTTTGCAATAATACCACTTACAGTTGACCATGGAATATCTAGCAAAGAAGAAATTTCATAAACTGATTTATTGCAAAGGTGGCATCCTACGACAGTACCGTGCTTGAATTCACTGAGCTCTTCAGAACAACCCATTCTTTTACAAATGTTTGCAAACCTGACTGCATGTCTAGATGCTTGATTTTATGCACCTGTGGCAATGGGTCTGAATGAAACACTTGAATTCAGTGAATAAGAAGTGCGTCACAATACTTTTGTTCATGATGAACTGGCAAAACTGGTGGTTCCAATTTGTTATTAATTTTCTTTACAATTATGGTTTTGCTTGCTTATTAAATCTGTATTTATAGACCCCTGTGCAGGGTGACCTTCAGCATTAATTATTTACAACCTTAATTTCCCTGGCTGGAGCTTCCGTGCCCAACGAGTGGAGCAAGAGAGCAACAGATGCATGTTGACGCCAAGTTGAAGGATGAGACTCCACACAGCCCTACCTGACGACCATCTTGACAGGGTAGACCCCAATACCAAGGCGCTTGCTTTCAGGGATGACATAGGAGACGCGGCCGCTGTTATTGGTCAGCTCGGTGGCAAAATATATCCACTCCCCCGATGGAGGCTGGGTCATGATGTGGATGTCCACCTAGGAGACAGACGTAATTAGTTACCTGAACGGTAAGCTCCATGAGATAGATAAGTAGCTCATAGGATTAACACTATAAATCCAAAGCAAAGAAAAGTCACAGAGCTCTTGCTATATCTCTGTGGGGTGACATCATCTTAGTGACTTTTAACATTGGTTAAAAAAAAGCTATGCTACATGCCCAACAGAATAAAATAGCCTGGTTGCCGCTGGTGACCAACACATAATTACATAATGTGTCTGTTTCACAACTGCTATGCCTGTTTATTCAGATCAGAGGCTGCCTGACTTGGAGAAGGTGCTGATCTGAGATCTGCAAACCCAGACCCATGTGCCTGTGCGAGTCTGGCTGAGAAGCAGAAATGGGCCCACCTTCTCCCCGGTCAGGGTGACCATGTCGAGTGGCCCGTACATGAAGCGCCCAGTCACCACCTGCTGGCCATCTTCTGTGAACACGGCATCATTCACCCTGTGGTTGGCTGTGACATTCTGGCCGAAATTGGAACAAAGAGCAGGTCATGACACACCTCCACCTCTCTCCGGAGGCACACGCTACTCGGCTCACTGAGAAAACATTTGCTGCTGTAATTGCCATAAGAACTATCTTCACGCTAGTGCAGTTCTGCTTCAGAGCCAGCAGCAACAGTAGAGTTTGATTCAGATCCCAAGACTAGAGGGGACACCCACCCTGATCTTGACGTGGGTCCGCTTCCTCAGCCACTTTTCACGTGGTTTGGAGGGGGTGAACTCTGACACCTCCTTGCCATCTAGCTCCAAGATGCTGGAATTCTCATGTCTCATGACCTGGAAGGGGGCAGAAAAACCCTGGTATAAAACAGCTCTACAGGAGTAGAGATCAAAGATGGATGGGAAGCCCCAAAGAGAGAGGCACTGGGCTCACCTGACGCAGCAGGAAGGAGACAACGTCAGTGGACTCCCAGTAGGAGGCGTGGAAGAGGTGGGGCAGTGCCACGGTGGGGAAGGCCGTGAGGGCATCGGGGCAGTACAGGGCAAAGTCAATGCGCTTGGTGCCCCACCAGCGGGCTGCGACTGAGGGGAAGAGGAAGGAGCACATAAGTCATGTCCCCCAACAGGCCACTGTCAACTCAAGACACTCTGGTATCGGGGTTGAAATTCATCACCTCATTCATCACATTTGTACTTTCTGATTAAAAAAAACAGCTTCTAGCTGCAGCCATTTTGTAGACAACAGTAAAATCACAAAAGACCATCACAGTCAAACATTTTTTTTATGTTTACAAAGAGAAGATGATATTTACAGGTTGTCTTTAAAGATGTAAGAATTTGGAGAGTAAAGCAGGTCTAATTAACCTTATATTAGTGTAATAAAGGTTAGAAAGGTTTGTTATGATCAGGTTTTAGTTAGTGTAGAGAATCACAAGTCCGTTACATGAGTAGGATTGTCCCTGTAGTAGGATTGTCCACTGAAATTGTTAGACAAAAATTCACTAGCATCAATGTTATGAAGCAGTGGACAGCTGCACACATCCACTTCCTCAATGCAGATTATTATAACATAATAAACGTGAAATGCAAGATATCATAAAAAAATCCCCATAGCCAATCAGATGCAGGCACAGCAGAGGAGGGAGAAGTGATGAAAAGGGCCGAGAAAACAAAGAAAGGCGTTGGGGAGCTCTAAGCAATTGCAGGGGGGGAGGAGGTACTATGAGCTAGCAAGGACCAGCACTAGTGCTCCTCTAAGGAGACGGCACAATGGCCCCACCCCCAGAATACCTTTCTCAGGGTCCAGCTGAGTGGCCAGCGGGACCGAATCAGAGGGCCTATCGGCGGCCCAACTGGAGGAGCTCGTGGAGCTCCTGTCTACCTGCTCCACAGGGCCGCAGTCTCCCGTCACATGTGGGCCAAGCCTCTTTCTAAAGGGCTTAGAGGAGGCCCTCCTCAGAGAGAATTTAGAGCGCGGGAGGGTGAGCTGCGATAGCAGCCTACGCTTTTTTGAATGGATGTGTCGGCATGCTATGAAAAGAAAGGAGAACCAAAGCGAATTAATAACAAGTGAAATGAACGCTATTGAACAGGACTTGAAGGGTATTGTCTCAACTTTTATGCATTATTTATCTTTTTGGTATCATATCTTCCTATTTCAGATTTGAGAAGCACAAAAGCTGAAAACAGGTTAAAAATCTCCTCAGATATTAATGTTAAAAAAGTTGTTTCACTTGAAGCAGACAGATACATCAGTAACTCGGACACTATTCCTTATGTCAATTTAACTGCAAAACAAAATGGAAGAGACAGAACAGTGATATTGTAAATAGGAGGCAATGTCCCTGAGAATCATACAGTGCCGATTATCGCTCACACACCAAGGCGGACCAGGCTCCTCGCGGTTTCTTTGTACCTTTATGACTTTTGGAAAAAAGGATGCAAGTCTAATCTGATTTATTACCATGGCAGGAGAGAAGAGAAAGAGAGACCGATCCTGGGGTACAGTGCTGACACTAAACACTGAAGCTGGATCGATTCAGCAGACAGAACAGAACAGGAAACAGTGATGTGGGAATATGGCAGACAGTTTGTGTCTTTGCATGCATTGCAGACACGGGTTTGAAAAATGCACTTTGTTTTTTTCCCCCCATTCCCCCCCAACGTCAATTGATGGGCCAGTCTGTGGGTAAACAGATTAATTCAAAGATAACACTGAACCTGCTTGAAATAAGTTGTCAGCAATTATTAAGAATAAATACTCTGCGTGTATGGTAATGGCCCTATAGAATGTATGTGACTGCATCAGGATGGTGACGATTGGTTGATGTTTCAGGGATCAGGCGTTACTGGTTGCTGGTTCTGTTCTGGAAAGTTTAGCAGGGTGGGTATAGCTAGTGAGCACGTGCACAAATACTGTCATGGCGGCCTGGGCACCATTAGTAGTAACAGTTGAGAGGTGGAGCGTGGTGCAGTGAGGAGAGAAAGAGAAAGAACCTGTGGGTGGAAGAGAGAGAGAGGGAGAGAGAGAGATGCAAGAGCTAAGGGTTGGGTTGTTGTGGGAGCACTTACTGTTGGCTATGTTGGTGGCAGTGTAACTGTCTGCCATTCCTGAGACCTGGCTGGCAATGCTGACCTCACTGGCCCTCCGCAGGCCCCGGCAGGGCGGGGCAGTAATGGGAGAGGAGGGGTACGAACTGTCCACGAAGACACCACCATGAGACTGAACAACATCTGCTATTGAGCCGAAACAAGGAGATTCCATTAGGCAGCGTCCCAGGTCAGGGCGATGGGAAGAGGAGACACAGGAGAGAAACAAAGGCGAACACAGAAGCTGGGGGGCGGGGCTGGGCAGGGGCAGGATGGCAGACTGAGACATGACCATTTCCAGGCTTGAAAAACCAGAGTCACTCCCACTCTGATGACCTTGTCTGGCCATGGTGGTCATAGGGTCAACTGAATATCTCACCAACAGTGTGTCACAGCACGAGACCCTTTGTCGTTTACCAAGAATAACACTCATGCCTCTTGCTGGAACACATTCATATAAATACTATTATGTATTAAGTTTTACCAAATCTTGGTGTAGTATAATAATTTTCTAAGAGTGCTGTCTTATTTATTGGATCATATACACTACTGTGAAAAAAGTTTAGGCAGCCAAAGAAAATGATGTTTAAATGATCTTCCTCTTGGTGTAAAACGATGGTATTATGCCTGTAAAAGTGTGTTGGTTTAGCCATGTCAAAACTAAAATCACTCCAGTATTTGCAGTAACCACCCAATACACCCATGTTAAAATAAGTCAATGAGGTATTGATATTAACTAATTAAATTAAGTGAGCTGTTGGTGAAATTTAACAAATACATGGAACGGCTGAGGTGCCCCTGAGGAGAGGTTTGGGAACTGAAGCAATGTTCAACTAGCCATACAACTAGATATCAGTAACTTTTTGGAGAACAGAAGAAATTCTTACTAGTTTTTGTGTTACTCTTAATTTTCATAATGTTAAATTGTGTTTTTTGGTCTGAGCAAAGGTGCATTTACTACCCAGATAAAAATCTTTAAACATTTCTTTTGACTGCCTAAGACTTTTGCACAATAAATGAATTTCGATTCACTGTTTTGCATTATTTAGAACAGCAAACACGACACACTCCCAGAAACACCAAGTACACCAAGGCTCCGTTGTTTGTTCATTTTACTTTATATGTTAAAGGTGCAGAGCACATAGTAAAAAAAAATATGTGCAAAAATGTTTTATTCAGGGGACCTTTGACCACCAATACTACATATAAACATGACACAGGCAGACAAACAAGCACCATAGGAGACCCTTCTGTTTTTAAATGCATAAAAAACAAGGAGCCAGCAAAAAAAATAAAAACTAAAAACAAGCTGAACTCTCCGGTCTCTGGCACTTAACAAAGCAAACCTGTATTGCTGGCTTTCAGGTTTTTTATGACAGAAATTTGTCAAGCAAAGTCAAGCACTGCGCTTAGGAAGCACCCAGATGTCCCAGAACAGCCCAAAAGGACACACCTGGAATTGTCGGTTCTCAAATGTGGTTAGTCCTTAAAATTTTTCAAACCCTGACAGCAACACAGCGGAGGCTGATTGCCGATGTTGGTTAGATAGAAGGAAGGCAGACTAAACGCACACAGAACCGAATTCCACACAGACCAGAGGGAAAGAGCAGAAGGAGGCGGTGTGAGACAGCGGATAGGAAGAGAGAGAGGAGACTACACACGCTCTATGGTGGCAGGCGTGGCCTTGAGGGAGCCGTCCTGCCAGTTTAGCACGGGCACGGGGATACTGGTCTCGCTGATGCCCTCCTGGCAGCGCAGGGAGACGGTGCCCCCGCTCTCCACCAGGAGCTGCGGGCTGCTCTGGATTGTCTCCACTACAGGCCAAAAGTCGGCGGTGGTGGAGAGGGAGGGAGGAGGTCAGGGCGGGGGGGGGGGGGATTTGGCGGGCAGAGGCCGAGAGGAGGAGGCAGGGGAGATAAGACAAGGAACAGAGAAACAGACATGTAGCAACAAACAAAAACTCCAGACAGGACACTGAGTCAAGCCCTCATGCAGTGGGGGTACTTCTGTCTAATTATTCAGCAAAAAAAGAGAAGAATGAAAAGGATAATTTGGCAACTACAAACATTTTCTAATTAAACATTTAACTATGGACTATTTATTCGGCAACATTTTTACAGATTAACTGCAGGATTCTGCCCACTGCGTATTTCATTAGAGATGTAAGGTGTCTATGTGAAGACTCTGAGGGCGTATTGTACTACAAATTCAGCGATAAACAGACAACACGCAGATGAACACAGCGATTCTCAGACAAACAAAGCACATATAATACTAAGGACAGTTTGCAAAGATGATTTTTCCCTCTCATCACATCTCAGAGGCAAATGCCTGTTTTTTCTCCTACATCCGATCAGCACAGTGACTCCACAGGTCAAACAGCAGATCAGATGTCACTTTACCGTTCATCTGCACCCTGGGCCCAGATCCAGGAGAGGATATCCAAGGCATTTGTAAATATTTACACAGCATACAGATCTGGCTGCAGATTCTATGGTGTTCTGCTCTGTGTGTCACAGGATGCATTTAACCCCTTGTGAATCTAGTTAGCTTGGCTTTTCTGAGTGTGTGTGCAGACTCACCCAGAAGGGCGGAGTTGCCATCCCCCAGCGGGAATCGCTGGTACCGGGGCACATTAAAGGGGGGCAAGAGGTGGAACTTCTTCTCCAGCAGGGGCTCTAGGCGCGAAGCCGAGGGGTCGGCAGGGTGAAACAGGTTATACACCTGCTGACAGGCTGGGCGGAGCTGGGCAACTGGGGGGAGATGAAGTGCACAAAACATTTCAGAGGAGCACTGTTGCAGAAGACGATGAGCACATGATTTTCACCACAGTGACTAAAATCAACCTTAATTTCAGTAAAATGAGTTATTTGGGATTAATTTGATTAATTTGAGTGGATGAGAATATGCCAGATCCCTAAAACGCTCCAGCAGATGACAGAATGGTCAATGATGGCTAGTTCAGCAAAAAAATATCTCTTTGGACTCAAACCATTTTTTCACTGGCAAATGTAAGCACAAAAAATAAGCAATAAATGACTATAACAACAGATAAAGGAATCCTCAGAATAATCCAGCTCACCATCCAACATGGGGATGACCGTCTTCCTGAGGGCGAGGACCAGGCCTAAGGGCGAGCCGAAGAGGAAAAAGTCGGACACCTCGAAGTCGAACTTGCCCAGGGAATTCCCCTCCAGCATGGTGCTGCTGCTGGAGCGGCGGGAGCCGGGGTCATTCCGCAGGACGCTGGAGTGCAGGCTGACGAGGGCACAAACACCCGTTTATACATGTTCCTGCACAGCCAACACATACCTTCCAACATGGGAGGCTGTATGTTCCTTCTTGGAATCTGCTGTTGTACTTTCAAAAGTTATTAATCAGTAGAAATTTGGCATATCCTAATACGCCCCCCATGTGCCGGTTGTATGCAGTCACAGGTGCAGGACATGGAAATGTCTTTGTAGTCCATGTACCCTGTAATTTCACCCTCCTCTTGACCGTGTCTCCTGTATAAGCAGAATGGATGGTAGAACAGACAGATACTTCCCGTGTGTCCATCCACTTAACCATCCTAAGGGTTAATAAACGTGTCAGACTTTAAACTGCAAAGAGTACTGCCATACAACCAATGTCTTTTTGCTTTGTATATCCACAAGATCTCCCGTTTTAAAAGATGTCACGGCTGCTGAGCTGTTCCTCCGCTACAGTGCATATCACACTGAAGTATACCAAACCAAAGTATACCAAACCATAGTATACCGAAACAGTATTATGGGGTGTGCTCCGCTAACCACATTTAATAAACAAAGACATGCCGAGTTTATACAGATTACTAACTTATGGGTGTCACAAAATGCATCTCATTAATACTTTAGCTATACTACTAATCTGCTTAACAAATTGTAGGTATAAATAAACGTTTGTGTAGTACCGAAAAGCTGGCGTCCAAACAAATGCTTAGCCCTGGTGATTACTGCGCATACGCGATATAATATCGATATGATATCACTCAGCGATATCATAAAACATCTGACCGTATAAATGAGTAACAGCTCTAGGTTTGTTTAGATAAAACCTTCAGCTACACTGATATGACAATCGAAAGCAAGTTGTCCATTGCTAGTGGCCCTTCCTACCCACCCCCTCCGCAACCACCACAATAGCCCCTCCCACCTGGACAGGAAGGCCTGGTGCTGCTTGATGGTGTCCAGCTCGTAGGTGGAGGAGTCGCTGCGCTTGCGCGGCAGCTGCTTTTTGGCGTCATCGGCGCCGCTGGAGCGCGGGATGTCGATGTTACTGCGGCTCAGGTGACGGCTGCACTCCAGCGACGTCCCTGTCGAGCAGTAGCTGCTGTTGACTATGATCCCCGGTGATAGCAGGTCATTGTCCTGGGAAGACAGCAGCACAGGATGGCTGGGGGAGGCAGGGGAGCCCGCAGGACATCCCCAAGGACACGCTGTCCTTGAGGGTACAGAAGGGCGATATTTTAACCTCAGGTTTATAGATTTACGGTTAGCTAGGGCTCCAGGAGTGGTGTGAGCACTTAGCGTCTATCCACAAATAGCACACATTAGCAATGTTGCCAGTTTCTGGAAGCCAGTCATAGGCTCTCAATTTGGTCACATGGAAAGAGGGAAGCAGGGCAAATTGGAGACTCTGGTCTCAGTGAGAATCTGAGGCATTAGTGGCGAGAGCAGCTATTTAAAGTGTATAAAGGGAGGAAAAAAGGAGCTATGCTGGGGTGGGCGTGGCTAAAGTGCCACTTTGGAGAGAGGCTTCAGCTTGACCTCAAGTGCCATGCTAGAACCCCAGCACTAAAACCTTAGTCCACTTTGTATTTAACAGTACTTTATTTTAATGATACTTTGTGTGAGTACAGGTGCATAGGAGGTGTTTCTATTATCCCATCGTTCTTTCCTATGAGACACACACATATAGAGGTGACAGCAAGCTCTGATCAGCCATTTATCCAGCACACCTGGAGCAGGTTTCAGGGTTAAAAACCCTGCCCAACCTGCCAACCAGAGATTTTGAGCTGCTGACCTTCTGATCACGGGCATTAGGTGCATCGACAGCCATATTTCACAGGAGAGGATAAGTTCATACTGACTGAGGTGCTCACAGGCATTCAGGTGTAGGCCATAGGCAGGTGTCTACTGAGCAAGCATGAGGATGCAAAGTGAGGGGGGCTAACCTGCATGCTCACCATGCTTCCGCGACGGCTGCTGTTCTGGCTCTCTGATACGGTCTGGTTACTGTTGCACAGTGCATCAAAGCCAAGGATGCCACCCACGCAATCTCCAATGAGGCAGACCTATGCAACCGGGACAGCAAGTGGGGGGTTGGGGGAGGGCAACATCCTTCAAGCAACATGATATTTCATTGGCCAGGTAGAGTGTCAATCAAATAAATTCGAAAACCAGCTGCTAGAGCCTGGACCACACCCACTTTCATTCACTGTTGTCATGGAGACACAAAACCATCACAATGAATGATGGAGGGTAGCATCTGCACTAGACTGAAAGTGTCACGTTGAAATAGGGAAGGCAAACAATTATCCTGTGGGTGTACCTCAATTTATTTTTTATATTTTGGACTTTTATAGACTTATAAAGCCACATTTGAAAGAATCAATTTCGCCATAATTAATTTATGGAAGTCGATTCATGATACACTCGTACTCGTACAGTTTCATGTATGCTGTAGATTTAAAATGATGACCCTTCATTAAGTTATAGTGTCAATTATTTATAGGCTGACCTCCACTGAGGTAATCTCACTGTGGTAGGGGCCCAAATCACAGTGATACATTGTTGCGGATTTACAGCTCATGGCTTTCCACCTTTAATTGGTTCTAAGACATTAATAGTTTGCTGTAAATCAACAGCCTTCCAACTGATCATGCAGGAGTGATAAAGCTGCCCGACTTTGGTCTCATTCACCTGTCCCGAGAAGGCGGCCCCCTCCAGAGATTTGATGAAGTCTGCATACACTTGGTTGGCCCGCAAGATGACGGTCGCCACGGCGTCCTGGTACTGCGGAGCAGAAGTGGCCAGCAAGGGGAGGGCGGCTAAAGGGATGTGATCCTGGCTGTTGGACAGGCAGCCCTCATCATAGCTGTAGGGGCTCAGGCTGCAAGAGAGAGAGAACGGTATGGGGGGGGTCAGCAGCTGCACATGTGACAGTAATGTGAGCAGATGACAGCTTAACACGTTGAAGTGCACACAGACACAGAGACACACACACACATACAGAGCAAATGAGTCAGGGCTGTGTGTTCGATTAATGCCTTCCTATCAGAGCAGATGAGAAGTGAGTGTGTCAGTTCAGCAGTGTATAAGGAGTGTGTCAGAGGGTGATCTATAAGTAGCATGTAATAGATAAATGAGGGCAATCTGAATGGTGAGTAATGGTTACATGTAGCACGTGTATGGAATATGGGTGTAAATCACTGGCCCCAAGGCAATTCGATTATGTTTATTAAGGGAGTGAGTTGATGCATCGGAAATCTTTAATTTCTATCATGATTCGGTTTGATTAATCAATTATTTGTTTAATAATAACGTACATTAAGACTTTTTTGACTTCACTGAAAAACATCCTCAAAAATTATTCACACATTATTGATGGAACATATAGAAAGTAGAATCTGTTATTGTTATTGTTAAACAGGGAGAACATGTCAGTGTAAAACTGTCAAAGGGCCAACTAACTACTGAACTGTACAGAAAAAACTACCTAATAAGGGGGGGAGCTGGCAGAGATCAGAGGAATGACGTCACATTGTTTTTTATTCTGAACGATCAATATGTGGGCCAGATTAAATAATGAATTATAAACATTTCACAGTCTGGTACTTTGAGACCTCTTCTAAGAGGAGAATGAGCTGATGAAATCCCTCGTCCTCTACTATGGAAAATGGCTGAGAAGATGCTGCTAACTATTAACTAATGAAGTTTGAATATTGTCCAAGACTGACACATTGGACCAATACTGATATCTAAATTTTTAATGAATATCGGTCGATTCCAATATGTTAAACAATATGTCGTGCATCTCAAAGGCTAACATTACTTTTTACCATGTTGACCTGAATATAAGAAGGATTTTTCTTCAAAAAATACATCTGAAAAAGTGGTGTCATCTTATATTCGGGGTCTAGACAAAAAAGGGAGCAGATGATGCCAAATACGACATTTTGTAACGTCTGTTTTGACCATAATACAGATTTGCCGTAAGATTTTTTGCATGAGTATGAGTGTCTGAAAGCTTGAGTGTCACGCCAGATGCATAACAGCTGGCAACCCGTGCAATGCGTGTATTTAGTGCGTATCCCTGAGTGTCGTGTAAATTGTTGGGTTCCCTGGCTGTGCCGCTGCTAGTATTAAACTGAAAGTGGCTGTTAATAAAGATAGTAACATTCATTTGCAAAGAGCTGTCATATCATTTATTAATATAGCTCAACCTTTCTCTGCAATACAATTTTTTTTTACCCTCTTCATGTGGGTCTACTGCATCGAAAAACATTCGGCGGCCTCAAGGGTTGTGGAGTTTGTTATATTTGTTACCCCACCCCCACAATAATGTATTTATTTTTGGAATGTTTATTGTTTAATACACATATTGTAATCCTATTGCCTGTGGTTGCTTTAAGCAGTGGTTGCTGGTTAATTTATATGTTCTCATCAAATAAAATTTTTCTTTACAAAGGATAAGAGTTGGAATTACAAAAACATTTTTTTCTAAAAATAGCTGCCAAAAAGTGGGGGGTCTTCTTATATTCGGACTAATATCATACTTAGCTAGCTAGTTAGCTACCTCAGGGTCTTGGCCATTGCTATCGTAGCATGAAATATGAACAATTTTTTTGCACTAAAATAGAGAGGCATTTCCCAAAAGCATTGTGGCACAAAGATTATCTTAACCATTTGAAAGAGTGTTTTGCATTATAGAACGGGTGAGTTTCCCTAAAAGCATTCCAGTGCAAAGAAAATCAGGTAGTGCTTCCTTTATCAATATTAATGAACCTTCCCCAGTCATCCTAAGTTTTGGAAATTTGCATGCCAGCACTTTTACTTTGTGCATCTACCTGCAGCATGTGAAAGCAAAAGTGCACAACTGAGAAGTAAGATTATGTTTCTTACCCACAAATATCAATTCTGAAGTTACAGATTTATGCATTGAATCACCTCTAACATACTGGGAGGTTGGGTGTATTCGAGGCCCATGGGGGGAGGGGGGTGTGATTCACCTGGACACCAGAGAGAAGGCCTCGGCGCAGATTGGTGGGCAAGGCACCAGGCGGATGGCGATGCGGCCCAGCGCTGCGGGGTAGTGCACACGCATCACCGTCTCGAAGGCTGTGCTGATGGTGTTTACGTCGCCCTGCTTGCTGCTCTGGTCGCCGCAGCCTGTGTCCAGGATGTTGCCACCATGGAGAACTAGGATAAGCACGTGGATCTTGCAGGCCTGAAGGACTTCTGGGGTAGAACCATCCTGGGGGGCGATGCCAGGGACCAAAAGAAATGACATTTCTGCCAATGGATTTGCAACGTGGTACCCAAGATGCTCCCATGAATCTTACTGAAACACAGCCTCTCTCCAAATTAGTCACTTTGTGCTCAGATAACCGTTCTCAGATAAAATCACTGACTCAGAATACCCAAGCTAGATCTTTTGCTGCTTAGACATACCATGAGACAATAACAAGAACTCCCAAATGAGGAATCCCCTTTTGCCTAATAACTAAAGATGTCAAGCACTCAGCTACCGCAAAAAGTTGGGATGAAACGTTGTATGCAACAGCAAAAACAGACCAGGAACTGTAGCTGATGAGCTTCAGGATGAAATCCAGAGGAGTGTCTACTGTTGAACCGTTGATTAAGCTAGCTGCCATAATGTGTTTTTTGCATGGCACAACTGGACCATTTGCCATTCTCTCAAGTCGTGTCACCTTTGAGGATCAGGGCTGAACCAAGCATCGACACTGCCCTGACCCATAATGCACTGGGAGCGCTTAGTGACCGCTGTCCGGTTACCATTTCGGTAGGAACTTCCAAATGCCAAACCAAGCGGAGCACCTCAAACCAACAGAACAAATCAGCTGATGGAGGCGACCTCCATAACCCCTGCCCTTCAATTAACCCCCTGTCATCACCATGTGGCTGAAATTATGTTCATTGCTTTTAATTATTTCACTCGTCACCTTTTCTGTTAAATAACTGTGTGTTATCTTCACAGAGGAGAGCATGTATGACAGCATGTATGTCTAATAAATAAAATAAACATTGATTCTGATTCCAAAAATACATACATATACATTATACAGCTCTGTGACTGACATAAAACATCACTATCAAATGGACACGAGATTTTGTCCATTAGCTTCCTTTGTGCACCTGAGAAAGTCATCAATAACAACACCTACACAACTAGTCTTTGCTCCACAATAATCCATTCAAATGCAAACACACCAGAATATACTGACTGTAGGGTGCCATCTTTTTGGGGCTCTGTGACTTCAGAGTCTGTTTCCCTGATGAATCTCTACCCATCTCCTTGCTTTTAATTATTATTTATAATTTTTTTTATGGGAGAGCTCTATACCTCATTGAGTGTCTCTACGCTGGCAACGGTCTCCTGGTACAGCTCTCCTGCAAAGACAGAGAAAGATTGGCAGTTAGCACTCAAGCCCAGCTAACGAGGCCGCTGAGCCAAGGTCACGAGGTGACCTCAATACTCTCGAGTGGAAGTTTGGAAACCAAAATGTGACACTTTTGTTTTTTAATTGGAAAGACAATCTCTCAGAAGAGCCGACACACAGAGTCGATTTTCAGGTCCCTCAACACTTCTCTAATTTAAAAACTTACAGATTCGGAAAGTGGTTTTGACAGTCTTTAGCCTCAAGGGTCATAACCTGGCAAGGATCTCATATCCTCCTGGTGGAGCTGAACTGTCAGCCACACCACCTTATTATGATGTTCTAATCTCATATTCCCTAGCAAACATAATCAATTAGGGGAACTTAAACAATGCGCAAATTGTTCCTTCACAGCTAATCCGATTAAGAAAGGAGGGGATTTGAGAGTACTTGGGTTAAATAAAGTGGCTCTGATGGAATGACGGACCTATAAGGAGATGCAGGAACATCAGGGCAGGTTTGACCCTGAAGATCCATTCCACAAAAAGCTCACACATTCTGATAGAAAGGGAGTCCAAGACCACCTTCCAAGAGGCCCCAGCCCATCTGCGCACCTTGGGCTTCATCTGGGTCCGTAGCCTCAATCTTGTCCATCAGATCATTGGAGCTCCACTTGGTTATCTCCTTAGGGAAGACCACCTCGCTGTCCGAAAGGTCCTCTGCAGGGTGTGAGAAAAGAAGAGGCTGACTGATAACCATGAGGCCAAAGAAGAGACTGCTGAAATATTTTTTCATAACCACTTATCCAATACAAAGTTGTGGTATCCCCTGAAATATATTATTAAAGTGTCATATTTAATGTTTAGCAAGGGTTTGGCCAAACTACTTCCCATAATCTTTGACCTAACATGATCTTTGACCTAGAGAAAGCCAACATCTCAACATGGATCTTGATGACACAGCACTCTGTCAATGAACCAACTCTGAAAGTGATTATAGTAGTCACTACTAACACCGTGTTGTATAAGGACACCAGTCAAAAGTACTCAACAATGAGGGGGGTGTGCTATGATGTTCATTGATGACAAATGCAGCTCGGAGCAGCATAATTTCAGCATTTTTGCTAGATGTGATTGCAAGGGCTAAAATGACTCTACAAGGCTTCTGTTGGGGTTTTTACTGAGAGTGAGGCTTAATTATGTAACACAACCCAACAATTCATGATGCACGAGCTTGCTACAATGTGAATCAACTTTTGCAAAGACCAATATTAATTGTGCACTGTTCCATCCTGTGTCTGTGCTGATTGTGGACCCCTTGTAGAATGGTATATCCTCCTGAGACCCCACCCATTCATTTATGTCCATTGTAGTGGACATGTTGTTTTTGCATCTATCTTTTCACTGATGTAAGGAAACATATTTATTCCTGTTGTACACTAAAGAGGTCATGCTGTGAAATAAAAAAAAAAATGAAAAAATCTAAATTGTAAGATGTCTTATTTCCTCCAATGACAAATAACCTAAAATTGAAGGACACTTTTTTTCCTTGGGTCTCAGGAGCATATAGAATGGTCAGAGGTAACAGTACAAATAAACGTCACCACAGACGTCAAATCCAAATCATGAAGTGTCAGATGCATCTTTGAATCGATGAGAGAAAAGTAGGTGGTCCCATTCACACAATCTTTGAAAATACCAGTCAAAAAAACTAAAACCACAAAAAAATTAATAACAACCCCGATCAGTCCTTATCACTCAATATATTTTTTCTAGTTATAAATATTAAATGTCCTTTAATTAAACTCCTTTAATTATCGATAATTAAAAGCATATTAAAAACAATGCTCTTTCATAATTAGCAAGCAACTTCTTTTTCCTTCATAAAGAATTGTTAAAGTTAGCATGTCAATATTTAATATTGCTGTGATTTATCAGCACATATGCAGCAGCTGAACTATCCTTAACCAGAACACACAGTTGGACCATCCAATGACTCAGCAGAGCCATGACCACCAGCCACAGATCACCTTCGCTGGATTATCCTTCCCCCGTCTCTCTGGCTGCTAATTCTACCAGATTAGGCAGTATTTAGCCAGTTATTCATAGTCCTTACTGCCGAAAGGCCTGGAGCGCCTTCATTTTATAAATGTTATATTCTACACATATGCGCCGATTCTGAACCGCCATTTGGGAACAGGAAGACGCTTCTGACGTACACTGGAAATACTCAGCTCAGCAATAGCACACCATTTATATTACATGACAGGATATAAATGTGCCACGGTGTGAGGTACGCAGTGGATGGCAGGAAGGAACAGAAACTGCTTGGGATCAGAAACGAGGGACAGGAAAGAGAATAAAAGGCAGCCTCTTACACTGGGATAATAAGCCAAGGAGTTTGTGTGATGCTGATATATTATGTTAATATGCAGCTAATGTTATTCACCCCTGCTGCCACCTGGATAAGAAGCTTGGAAACTGAGTGGAAATAAAAATGAAGTAGTAGATTAATCGGGTAACTGGATAAAACATTATAAGTTTGCAAATTGGTGGAAGAGAACTAAAAAAGAAGACAAAAAGAGCAGTGACCTATCCCTGACATACATACTGGAAACTCTGAGAGTGATAGTGAGTTCTGGATTAGGAATTCCTGCTTTTAATGGGATTGGTCTGCAAATGACACTAATACTGAAGACAGTTATACAATGTTAGAGCATTTAGTGCATCGATATGTTACTGCTCACTGGCCACTTAAAGACCAAAACACTGGGAAACTAGCAGGGAAAACAAGCAAAAGACAATTGTTAGTACAGTGGTACCTCGGTTCTCGAATTCACTAGAACTCCAATTTCTTGAAAGTCGAACAAACCAGTTTGACCTAGAACTCGATCTGAATATCAGAAGTCGAACCGTGAACACTGACCTAATATAAATTGTACGTGCCAGGAAATGAGTCATACTACAATGCAATTCTTCACAGACTGGATGATTAACCAAATAAAGCAGTGCAACATTACAGTAACTAACAATAAATAAACCACTAACTTACGTGTTAATTAGCGGGAGAACATTTTAAAACAAATTTGAGGAAGCACTTCTTTACACAGCGTGTAGAGTATGGAATAGTCTTCCTGCTAGTGTAGTAGAAGCTAAAACCATGGGTTCCTTTAAATCAGAGCTAGATAAGATTTTAACAACTCTGAGCTATTAGTTAAGTTCTCCCCAAACGAGCTTAATGGGCCGAATGGCCTCCTCTCGTTTGTAAATTTCTTATGTTCTTATGAGCATTTATGTCATTTATTTAAACTTTATTTTACCAGGTAAATTAATATCACTGCTTTACGTGATATTCGGGAGAAATAGCAGATTACGCATCGGAACTGCCTGGGATACAAACGTCATGCGTGTAACTAAACTCTTCAGCCAATAAGGGCAAAGGTGTGTCGTCACAGAGGCAGTTCCAGTTTGTGCAGCCGGGTGAGAGGTTGCAATGCATCTAACCGTAATGCATTGCGTCACGATCAGAATGCGTTGCTTTAAGCCAGCACTGTAAGCAAGTCGAACACACCCAATGACCAGACTGGGGAAACAAACTGAAACACGGACTTAATACAGAGGACCAATGACAACAACCAGAAACAGCTGATCACATGGGGATCCCACACGAGGTTAACGAGGGGGCGTGGCACACGGAAGGAGCGGACGATCGGGGCAGGACAGGGGTAATGCTGGGATAAGATCTTTATCGTTTTGGAAGCCATTAAGAAAAAAATGCATTTCTTGTTTTATCCTGTTCATTTTGTGTTTAAATTCTAAAAAAAAAAAAAAAAAAAAAAAAAAAAATATTTTAGGTGTAATTTTGGGGGGCCGGGAACCAATTAATTGGTTTTCCATTATTTCTTATGGGAAAAATTCGATCAGAACTCGAACTTTTTAGGATTCGATCCAGAGTCCGGAACGGATTAAGTTCGAGAACCGAGGTACCACTGCATATGAAAAAAAACCTGCACTAATCTCTGTGACATTTCTCTTGGCACAAATTACAAAATAAATGGGGAGATATCTTAAAATAAAAAGGTAAGCAGTTCCAGCAGGAGAAAGAACAAACTGTACCGTTTATTTTACTTAAGAGAGAACACATTAAAAATACTAAAGTGCAGGTGGGTACATAAGGAAGAAGTTTCTTCAGTGACAGTTGAGTCAGCAGAAAATGGTCTGTCTAAACCAGTGTTTCTCAACCCAGTCCTCAGCGAACCCCAGCCAGTCCACGTTTTTGCTCCCTCCCAGCTCCCAGCCACCTGTACCAGCTATTCGGTGTTCCTGATTGGCTGGGAGCTGGGAGGGAGCAAAAATGTGGACTGGCTGGGGTTCGCTGAGGACTGGGTTGAGAAACACTGGTCTAAACCAATCAGTGGCTAGCACTTCCTGCTGTCCCCAGCCACTTAAACACCAATCAGTGTCAAAAGAAAATCAGTGTGAGGGGTTCCAGGATGGCAAATGCCTTTAAGGGAAATGGAGATAAAGTGGCCATACGCTATGCTATGTGCAAACCAACTGAAGGTGTTACTTGGGGTGACCATACCATGTGCGTCGAAGAACTCCTCTTCGGAGCTGTCCTCCGAGTCCCGTGCGATGCTCTGCATCCTCCACTCCGAAATGCTCTGCCGAGAGGGGCTACCTGTGACACAGGGGCAGGAAGTGGTGTCATAACTCCGCCCACATGGGTTTTGTGACAAAGCTTGGTGTCCACATGTTTCTTGAAGGGACAGCTCGGTTTTCCAACACATCACGTAAACCACTGCATCAGCCAGCCAGCTCCCACAACCAATACCGGCCAAGGGGTGTGGCTACAAGAGTGATAGTGGGCTATGATAGGTGGGGAAGTAATTAGGACCATAGGGGAGAAGTCAATAGATTTAGCAGACAGGGCACAAAATCACAGTAGGTAATGGGTTTTTCTCCAGTCCTTCTGGTAGCTACGAGCTACGTTTAATTACCAGAGGTGTTATTCATTCATTAGAGATCATGCCTTTATTGCGTAAGTGCTTTCTGTGCAAGTCTCCTCCATTTGTTTCCATTGCTAATCGATGGATGCAAAGAGTAAAGACTCTCTCAGTGCTGCAAGTTGCTATCTCCTTAGCAGCTCAAGCCGTTGCCTTGAGATGCTGAAACTGGCCAGAGTGGACTGCTGTTCACTTTGCCTCAGCTTTTAATTACTTTGATGGTTGGGGAGTAGGTCATTTAAAATGCAACCTTGGGGACTCTACAGAACCACCCTCCCACCAGAGCTGCCGAGCCGAGATTTCTATCTCCTCACTCCTAACAATGTTTTGTGAGGTAAGAATGAGAATTTCCAAAAACTGGACTACTGTCATTGACATTGTTTCTCAGTGACTCTAGAACTCCAGGCCCTTCTGGTGCCTTGATCAATGTGCTCATCATCCTTGTGCATGGTACACAACCCTAATAAAAATTTGAATTCAAAAAAGCAAACAGGTTTGATATATAAAGACAGGAATTAAAGCAGAAATCATCTTTCAATAAAACACATAACATAAATAAAATATCCACTGGGAATAACAATGCCCTAGAAGGTGGCTGTGAGAGTACAGCTTAATTGTACACCAGAATGCAGGTCTGAGATCAGATCCTGTACACAGTCCAGGACCATTACTACAGCTACACAGGCAGGGGTCTGTCCTCAGATCAGATTCCTGTGCATGTTCACTGCTCCGGCGCTACATTAACAAGCCAGGCAACCAAGCCTGGTGGGGGGAGGAGGGGGAGGAGGGAGCCGCCTCCCCCAGAGCGAGGGCTACGAACTGCCTTCAGAAGCAGATGCTATAAATAGTATATGGGAAGAGAGAGATAGAAAGAGAGAAAGAAAAAGAGGGAGAAATTAGACTAGAGAAGGTAGAAAATGTTGAAACATACAGGGGGGAATAAAAATGGCACCACTGGGGTGGGGCCACCAGCACAGGTGTTGGATTTATGGACGGATGGATAGACAGATCATAAAATTCACGTTTTCTTCTAATGAACTACCACATCTTTCGATGACCCAATGAAAATGGGGGGGGAGGGGGGCTATCCAGGAAAACCACGTAAGACGCAGAAAATCACACGAGTCCCCATCAGAGTCCACAGCGCCCGTCGCATACATGCACGCACATGCTCACACCGACGCCTGTGCTGATGCACGCGCCCCCCTTTCCCTCACACACACAGAACACGCATAAACGTATAGTCATGCTCCAGGCATATTTATCTAGAGCAGCTCCACAAAGTACAGCAGTGCACAAGTACTAGTGAACATGTGAAATGCACAGGATCACCAGGGCAAACAAAACCACAATACGTAAGTTTCCGGAGCTGCGTACAAAGCAGACAAACCCAAATAAAAGAGACACACAGACACGGCTGAGCTATTAATAACTGCTTTTAAAAAGGGTCAGTAACAGTTATATAAACCCCAGGCTCAAATGCAAAACGACGTGATTAAAAACAAAGCACAGCCCCCCCCCCCCCCCCCAGGACTACAACGATGACGCAAGACCCCTGGCAGCGGCAGAGCACTCACCTCCCCTCTTGGACGAGCGTGAGGACTTGGAGGAGGTAGACCACTGCTTGGTGAGAGCGGCGCGCGCCTGCAGCGTGTCGGCCCCCGCCGGCCTGCCCTCCGCCTCTGCGGCGCCGGCTGCTTCTTTGCCGCCCTGCTCCTTCTCGGGGGAGCCGGCCGCCCCGCCCCGGCCCGCCTCAGCGCCTTCCTCCGTGCAGCTGAACTGGGCCATCTTCTGTGCCAGCATCACCTGCGCCTCCAGCTCCAGCTGCCGGATGTCCTCCATGGTCAGGCCGTACCATTCGTCCTGCCAGCACCAGGCTTGCCGGTGAGCTCGCACCATCACCTTCCGCAGCCCTGGGGGGGGGTGGGGGGTGGGTGGGGCGGGGCGGGGAAGGGGCACCACAAACAAGCTGAACTCAGCTTCTGTGCATTATAATTTTTTCACGAACAAGCGTGGCGTGGATTAACCTTTATATTCATAAATCCACTACGTCAGATCGAAAGAAGACGACAGGCATTGTAGAGCAGCAAGCACAGGCGGGTTTGCTGCACTGCAACATGGGAAAAGTACTCATGGACATCATAGACCCCTCTCCATCTCTATTGGGCAATAAGCCAAGACGGGGGGCGGGGCTAAAGACACTCAGTGACATCCCTTTGATATTCAGACATTTAACTATAGATCCAGGCTAACTTGACCCAGCGCCCGGACATACAGGACAGCTTTGTGTAAGGATCTGCGCCCCTGACTGGAAGGTTAAGGGTCCAAATCCTGTGGCAGGCAGGGGCCTTGAGAACTACACAGCCAATATATTCCAATGTACCTGGTATAAATTGTAAATATCTATCATCCCTCCTGCAGAGCCCCACGTCAGCCTGCTTGTTCCAACGTACTGGTTGAGAATAGGTCAGCCAGCTAGAGGCGCAGCAGTCACAAGGCTGGAGTGCACTTATATGGATCATGGGTCCAAGAAAAAGACCAAGCAGATAAACCTGAGCTCCATCAGCTGCAATAAAAAGGTAAGACATATGGTCCTCTTCATTTTCAGAATGAGGATTAAAAAAACAGATCATTTGCTTCACACAATCAAAGCTGTAAAACCTTAAAGGCAATCTAATTATTTTTAACATTCATGCAAATCACACAGGGAATTATGGGTAATAGCAAGTGGGTAACAGTTCAAATGGAATTAGGGAATTGTTCTTGATTCATTCAGAGGAAAAAGTCTTAAAAAGAGAAGATTAAGGGGCTGCCAGAGACAGGGTGACAAAATCCTGTGACTTGCCTATTTCCCTAAGAACTTTCAAGGATTTCATTTAGAGTAGGTTAATGATTAAGTAGATAAAGCTTCTTTGGGGAAAGGGGGGGCACCAGTTGCCCAAAAGCCCCCTGGCACCTGGTATCCGCCTACGCTCAAGGAACAACAAAACAGCAGCCGAGCTCAAAGCCACGTGCGGAACCGGCAGCGCGGGGCCTGGGGCCAGTGTGGCCCCCGGTTTACATAAGCGTCCTAAAAAGAGCACCAACGCTGCTGCAGCTAGCTGGTGACATTTGGAGGGGGCTGGAGGCGGGACGGGGGGGCATGGCGGGGGTGTGCAGGAGGGAGCTTTCCAACCAAGTGAGCGAAGGAGATAAATTGGGGATGTTTATATATAAACCGAACAGACGCTCTTCAAATCAGTAAACTGTAAATCAGCTCAAATCTGGCTGCAGGTAGCTTAAACCGCCATAAGTTGTATAATGCTCATTAAGTAACACACGTCTGCTGTAATTTCACTGCTACTGTGATAACCGCACTTGGGCGAGCAACTTGGGACAGGTACTAGTGCGAAGCTGCTCAGTCTCCAGCTTTTTTGGGACATGTCAGTAATATAATTATACGTCCATATTAAACACGTCGGTTTGCAGTGGGTATTTTAGTCTCCAGATGATGTCATATTATTACCCCAGCTATGACATCAGAAAAGGGCATTCCCTCCCCAGACCACTCTGTCCCTTGTGACCCCTGTGAGAACCGCAGCGGTGATTTCCCACTGCCTGTGATTTGGGGGACCCCCCCCCTTCCCCTCAGCACGGCTGGCCACATATCCTTTTTGTGGTGGGGGTCAGGGTTTTATACTTTTCTGTGGATTCCATAGGGAACTATCACAGGCTGCCTAATGGCACCTAAGTGTGCTTTAGCAATTTAATGATGATCACTTAACAAGCCTGTCCCAGGGAATCTCCAAATTCATTTTTGATTTGCATTACGTGGTCTGCTTGACTGACCTCTGGACTGTCTTGTGGTGCAGATTCTGCAGTTCTGTTCCTATTATCCATCCCACTTAAGCACTCACAGCTCATCCCAGGACTCTAGAAGGGCTGCAGATTCCCCTGCCCTTCCCTCTGTCTTCCTGGACACCTACATCTCACTCAAGCTTCTCGACATGGCATCACATCCCTGCCCAGAGACTCCCCGCCTCACCCCCAGGGCACGTACCCACGTCGTGGATGAAGCGCTCAATTTTCGACTGCATGCCCCAGTAGCGGAACTCCACTTTACACAGCTTGTAGGCACACATGATGGGCTTCTTGTCGGGGTTGTTGTTAAAGTCCTCGATCCAGTCCTCCTGCAGCGGGCCCCTTTTTGTCTTTACCGACTTGTAGAGCCGAGGGTCCTCCTCTGCCTTGTACTCATGGGGGGGGATGGGGTCCTTGACGATATCGATGGGGTCTGTGTGAAGGGAGAGTGGATAATAGTCAAAGACAGCCGACCAAAATTCTGTCCAAAAGCAAACCGGAAAATGCACATATATCATCTATCATTGCTTTTGATTCAAACAATTAATTAGTGAAAAGATCCTTGTTCTTCCTAAATACTATGCCTCTGCCTGGACCCCTCACTGCCCTCTGACGTCACAAAGTGTAACGATACAGTGCCACTGCATGCAAGCCAGCATCAGCACAGGCCCTCTGGACTTCTGATGTGGTCAGAGTGCATGGCAGCCACTGGCCACTAGATGTCCCCACTGCTGCACTCTGCCATGGGCTCAGGGGAGGTCGTGTAAGACTTAAGGCTCATTTCCCCTGCAGAGGCACAGTTGTGTGTATCCCACAATGCATCTCAGCTCAGGAACCACTGCAGTAAGACTTTAGCTCCTGAACAAGAGCCTGACTAGCAGCTTATCTTCACTATTTAAATACAGTTTCTTTGAAAGATAACCATATGTAGTAAAGTAACTTCTAATCTTTTTAAAATGCAGTAGAGGCTGTGAGTCTCGCGCCTCCCCTTAATGAGCATTTGCATGTTTCCCCTGGGTACTCACTCCAGTTTCCTCCCGCAGTCCACCAACATTCATGCTAACTGGCATCTCTAAATTGGCCAACGTGTATGACGTTTGTGCTTGTATGTGCCCTGCGATGGACAGGATATACCCCAGCCTAATGTCCTGCGATACCTGGGATAGGCTCCGCCCCCCCCACACACCCCCCATGACCCTGACAGGAGAGGTAAATAGGAGATGGATGGATGGATGCCCTGGAAGTAATTTCAAAAATTGAATTTTAAACATGAACACTGCTTCATGTATTGTCTGCAACAGGGAACGTCCGTGTTTTGTCAAGTTTACAGCATAATATCCAATCACTTGGTGTTTTACCTGCTGGGAGGCAGTGACATCATGCACTCTGCCACCACACGGATGAGAGCAATTAGCCTAAAACATTTTGTCTGTCAACTCGCTCGAAACTATTAAGGTTAAGCATTCAGCATTAACCATTATTTATAATCATTCTGAGAGGATTATTCAATTATTCCACTTTGGACTAAAAGCAATAAGCATTAAATCATCGGTAGCTTTCGCCAATTACTGCCGGGTAGGCATAGCTCGCGGATCTCTCTGAAAGAGCATCTTCTGACACGACGAAGGGATCGGCTGCTGGACTATGGGTTTATTGGGGAGGGGTCCTCCTGCTTTGGGGAGGAACGGGGAGCTGGCCAGGATAGGAGCAAATGAAAAAGGAAATTTGGGAATGCTGTTCTAGAATATGAATGGGTGGATGGAAGCTTTAATGGGTAACAAAACTACAAAAAAACATGAGTGTGTAAATCTGTGGAAAAAAGCATGAAGACAGAAGACTGCTGTTGGCATAAGGATTTGGTCCAGGTAACAGAGCTGAAAAAGCCAAACACCATAAGTCCCAGGTATACAATAATATATTTACACCAGCAACAAGGGCAGGCAGAGTGAATTATGACAGGTAATCAGTCTGACTGTCCTGACCCCACCCCCTTCGGCAGTCCCTCCCCCTCAGCGGCAGCCAAACAGATCAGTGTTCTTCCTGCAGCAAGTCTCCAAGACCCCCGCCCCCTTTCTAACGAGGAAAAAGCAGCAGGCTGGCCTACCCAGAGTTCTCTGCCTCCTCTCGACAGGAGACATGTTGAAAACATCCAGCTGGTTCCCCGTGTCAGGTTTGTAGTACGTCTCGATATCGATGGAGAACTTCTCCACAAAGGGACATGTGTACCTGCAGGAAGGGGAGGGAGAATTAGCATATGTTGTCAGGTTGAAAGGGGGTGGCAGGCACTCTGAGTAGGAGAGGGTGATACGCTCTTAAAATAATATTTCTTTTCAGGGATGCACAGACCATTTTCCTCCAAAATACCATTTAGGAGGCTTTGCAAGATACCATCCAAATCACATACATCCTTAAAGAAGTGGCCTACTTCATGCACTATACTGATCACGTGAATAATCTGACATTAAAATTTACTGCTAATTTAAGCCCCATGGCCTCAACCAGGATAAGCAGATGGGGGACTGATGCATGAATGCAAAGTTTAACTTAAAAAGAGTATCAGTCCCAAACTAATTCAGCATCCATCCATCTATAACGGCTGGTCTAATATAGGATTGGGAGGCACAGCCCGAAAAATGGGTGGGCTCTCCAGCATTCCCACCCACCTTGGCCTAGCGATGTGCAAACTATGGGGGGGGGGGGCTATATTTAGAGCGCACGACAGTGAGGTTGCAGTGGCCAGAGCAGCTGTCAGCGTTTTCTCTTCGATGTGCGTCGTTGGTAATACGTGGTGGGGGGGTGGTCAGGAGAGTGAGCTCATTGAACAAAACAACAAACTCACAGGGCATTCAGTGGGAAAACACACAGGGAACACAGCAAAAAGACACCTACTTTGGCTAAAAGGCACGGTGATTAGCCTCCGATCCCACAGGGGGCTCTCACGCATTCTTACCGAGTGCGGGTGTAAGGGTAGGCATTCCAGGACTCCTCTTCCACCCGCAGTGCAGCCTTGGGCAGGATGGAGCGGAACCAGCTGGGGATGTGCAGACCGATGTGGTAGACTTTGTGGGTGTACTGGCCTGAGCCTCCTGGGCCGTCGGTGTACGGCCGGTTCTCCAGGATCTCCACACCACTGCCCTCGCCGCAGGTCTCCTCGCGGCTCTTCTTCTGCACGGACAAGCAGCAGAGGCCAAAGGTTAACATGGGACAAGGACTCGCTTTTCTGGTGCATCTGCTTCTCAGGTGTTTAAAGACAGCAGGCCAGCTTTGGGACTTCCATGTGCTGTCAATCACTTCATAGGTTCATTGGAGTTTAAATCAAGCAGTGAATGACAGGACTTAGGTACCCCCCCCCCCCCCCGTCTGCTTCCCTCACGTATAAAACATTGCTTCTACAGCCAGGCTATGAGTCTAGCTACAGCCATCATCTGAATTGTTCCCCAGGACTCTCCAATAGACACCCTGTCCTGAGGATGCTTCTCCATCAGCGGGAGCTATGGAGCCCAAAGTTCAAGTCAAGAAAACAACTGTCTTGGCATCCAAGCCTCTGGATAGGTAGGCAAATTTCTGGGACAGATGGGTCCGACATGGAAAACGCTGAACCTGACAGAATCTGAGGGGGAATAATTCTCTCAAGTCTTCAGCTATTTTCCCACTTGCGTCAAAGCTGAGAGCCCATCGCTGCAACTGATGACTTAAACACGACTTTAAGACGCATCTTCATTTACACCCGCAGCCTTTGGTTGGGCGGTGACAGCTGAACGAGACAGAGATATAACACAATGTCCAAAAAAGCTCTACGACTGGTGCCATCTGTCAGTGGCTCTTAGCAAGGAGTCAACCAAAAATAAAAACAACAAAAGGGACCACGAACATAACAATTGCGTCTGAACATAACCTCCGAGTACTGAACAAGAACGGAGAAGTACACCCATGCAGCGAGAAGCAGGTGATACCGGCAACTAGAGGGCGCTGTTATTGAAGAAGTCAAGACTGTCTGACTGATTAAGCTTTTAATTGACCTGCTTGTGCTGCTTTCTCATGCCTTTTCTTCCTGGAACATAAGCTGAGCCTGGCAATATCTCTATGTGCTGAGTAGACAATAAAGGGGCAGAGACAAATACACAGCAGTAGAGAGGCAGCCATCTCCATTCCGATTCCTGGAATCTCTCTCCCCCCCCCCCCATATCCCATCAGCCTCCAGGCCAGACCAGTTTATTGCCCAATCGTTAGGCAGCAGCCTACAGAACTTATTATTTTTATGGCTCAGCTATTTTAATGCACTGTTGCTACGGCGATCAGAGGGTTTGAACCCCGTCTACCATCATGCTCGCAGCTGCTACATGCAGGTATTCCAGCGAGGCTTCACAGTCGGCATCGGCACGGTTTTATGGGGGAGGAGGGGGCAGACCGGATAAATCTCCTCATTCTTCCCCAAAACCTTCCTCCTGCAGACACGAATCAGTGACGATATGTGCACGTCATCTAACCCCTAGTCAGACATGGTGTGTCATCAGGACTGACATGGTCACCAGACTGTAGTGTTCACAAAGGTTAATGATTCGAAAGGCTGAGGTTTTTTTTTCCAGGGAGAGAGAATCTTCTGGACAAAGTCCAGGAGATAAACAGAAAGGCTGGCATCAGGAGAGTCACGAGTACAGAGGCTTAAAAAAGCACCGAAATCCTCTCATGGGCCGCAGGCCTGAAGCACCTGCACACAGCACACAGCCACCATGATATGTCACCAAAGTGGCACCTTGGTGTCAGCCATGCCCAGAAATAGATTATTTTCCCATAAATGGAACAGTGTTAATGCAGTTTGCCAAAACAGCATTATTTTTCCGCAAAACCGCTCTCCCTGGGGTCTCTGAAAGTGATTTAGTTCGGTTCTGGTCCAACGCTGGTTTACGCCGATCCGCCGTGTTTGGTCCACCAGGCTTTTCCATCTGCTGCACATTACCATCAGGCCTGCTGTGTAGGAAGCTCCCTGGAGAAGGGCCCGGTGCCCCCCCTGCTCATGAGCACATGGCGTGGATTCACTGGGCAGCTGTTGGCTGCCCACAGCAAGCCCCCCCACCCTAAAACCCCCGCTCTGGGAATTGTCAGTACTAACAGGTCAGAAGGACGAGTGTCACAGTCATGGTGCCAGAAGCTTGGGGAGAGACCATAACCCAGAGCAAAGAGTCATTAACGCATTTCCCGTCCTGCTCCCCCGTGGTGAAAACACCCCTGGGGGTCTCGCCATAGGGGCGGGGCTTGGGGGGGCACCCGGCTTCCCTGCTCTAAATACTTCAATCCGTCCGCCTGCTTGCATTGTGAAGTACAGATGGTGGCACAGATCCCTCTAGCGCTAGCTTTGAGATACCCAGAGGAAGGAACCATATGTGGCCTGATGAGGGGGAGATCGCAGCTAACTTAGCAGCTTCTACGCTAACGTGCGTCTATGCTAAGATGCGTCCATGCTAACGTGCTAATGCGGTGCTTAACATGCCAGTGATTCCATTCCAGGGTGAAGTCTGACGCTCCCTATAATTTTACTGCTTTGTCTCTACAACAATGTGCACAGACTGACATATTCATGGTGAAATATCTACCTAAATTTAGTGCATTACTGTAGCCAGCCTCTTTCTCAAAAGTGAACATATGACATCTTGGCTACAAGTCTGCGCCTTTGCTGCCTGCTGCCCTAGTATGAGAGGAATCTAAGCCTACCGTACCTGAGAGTCCGGATTTACTATAATCCTCTCGCCTGCCACCTGCCATATGAATAACACCTATTAACAGTGATGTGCACACCAGATTGCAACACGAAATATACACTAATACCTTCTTCCTGATAAATGCAATACCCTGCCCACCTTTAGTGTAAGAGAAAGGGTCTGAAAGGGGGTTTTCTTGGGTTTCACTAGTTGCCAAGCCCCAATTTTTGGCACTGGATTGGTCTGAGATCCTGAGCATGCATCTCAATGATGTGCTAATGCCATTAACAGCCGTAACATTAGCACTGTGTATGGACAGACTAGTGTGGCTAAGAAATAGCTGGCCCTTCCCAATCCTCTGGGAATCCCTGCAGCTCCCCCTGCTGGTCTCCTGCAGGTGCTTGAGCCATGTAGAATTGCCCTTTCTCTAATATTCCTATAGGATAAAACAGCCCTTTCTTCTATATTTCCATTTATTTGTGGTCCAAGCAGTGTGAGCTGTTGGATCCCTATTGTTTTTGTACTGCTAATTATTACTGTATCTATATTGTACAGCCCAGGATAACACAACCCTTCCTCCTGTATTTTCATAGCTCCTCCTGTATTTCAATTCTTGACGTTTGATTCCTAAAATGCCCCTTTTTATGAAAACAGGACAATGCACTAGCTAAATTCCTAGCACTTCGTATGCATTACAATGAAGCCAGATTGAGTTTGATATGTATTTTTCACACTTGACCTGGAAAGAAAAAAATGAGCAAATCAACACTGCAGCCATGCATTACGCTGGAAAGGTCAGTTCCCACAGGCCTCCTCACAAACTCGCAAATGATCACAACCGGCAGCACCAGGCAACAGCATCAGTCTACTTTAGGTCCCAGCCAGAGACTTTCCACTCCATAGAGTCCTCTGCTTACAAACCCCCCATGCCAAAAACCCCCAAAGCATGGAGCCCTCCAGCTCATAGAACCCCAATCCACAGAACCCTCCTGCTCAAGTGCCCCCCCAGCTCATGGAACCCTAATCCACAGATCCCTCCAGCTCATGGAACCCCAATACACAGAGCCCCCAGTTAAAGGAGACCCCCAACATTCCCAAAGATCACCCAACTCAGCCAACTAGAACCCCATTCCATCCACGCTGCTGCCTGAGGCTGTGACTAAGCAGAGCAGGAGCTGCCTGGCCAACCTGCCCTAGCGGCCAGTGACAGGTCATTCATTAGCGGCGTGCAGAGACAGCACCCTGGCCCTGCGGGCCCAGCAGCACACGACACTTCATTAGCGGTGATGACAGGTACCACCACCCCCAGGCCGGCTGGCCAGCATCAATCCTTCCCACCATGATGCAGGATTTATGCCTGGCATTAGGGATAAATGAAAAGAAGATGAAATTAAAACGGGTATCTCCACCCCTCCTCTCCTTCTCTGCTGGAATCAGACACTGAGTGGGTAAATGCTTCGCAGGAGCAGATCTTATACTGATACCCCCCCCCCCCACAACCATGGCCCCCAGCCCCATCCTGAAGAAAACCATCAGAGAACCTCTGCCACCAAACTCCAACCAGCACTCAGAGAAAGCCTTGCATTAAAAACTGGCAAATTGTCTTAACTACACCTCACAGTTAAAGGTGAAGCAAAGAATGAAAATCATATCGCCAATACTTCTAAACCTTGAAATATAAAACAAACCACAACCTTCAGAGAGCAAACCATGCATAAACTATATCCTTGGTTGTTTAATGACAGTGAGTGACCGTGATCGTTTCAATATTCAGGGCACTGTGTGTGAGATACAGGCCTTTGAGCTTTTTTTGTGCAACATGGAGTCAGAGGAGGTCTCAAGTAGACTTGCGCCTTGACTGAATAGCCAACACTGCTTGTGCTCTCTCTCTGAATCTCTTGGTCCTGAAAATAAGTCACCAATTAACCAACAATTAGCCAGGTAGGCTGATTATAAAAGGCAAAGAGAAAAAAAGTGCCTTTCGGGGAGAGCAGATACAAAATGTCGCGGATCATAAAGAATCCTGATGACAGCGTAGAGAAGGTAGCAGCTCAAGGGCCGCTGGCCAATTGGGCATGAGAAACACAGAGCCCGCCCTCATGTTTCCCTGGATATGGAACACTTTGTGCTATTTATATTTCTCCTACCGTCTCCACAGAGGACCAATCAGGAGAAAGATGGAGACACAGGATCTGACAGCAACATCTGTCCTGATATCCACCACAGCTCTATCTTACGAGCAACCCTGCTCCTGCTCTTCTGTCTCTCAAACACAAACTAACCCTAACCCTCACACAGACTGTCATCACTGTAACCACGGTATCCTGAGAGGGGACAAGGGCAGGCCCTCTCATGGGTGTCTCTGTTGGAGGCCAGTGTCAGGTGATGATTGGAGGGTGGGGGAGGAATCCCAAGGTCCCAAACTTTCCAGTGCTAGGCTGATGCTGGAAATGGTTTCAATTCATTCTCCTGTCTTTCTTTACTCTACAGTCAATCTGTTCAGTAGCATACCTGGTTTATCTGGAAAGCATTACTGATGCTGTTTAAGGTAAGAACGCAAGAAAACTGTGAAGCTCACATTGACCAACAACTCTGAACCTGAAGACCTGCAGTTCAAGCTGTCAAAGCAGCTGAATTACTTCAAGAAGTCAAGGGCTTCAGTTCGTAAAACTGCTTCATATTATAGAAACAATGATAGACACAATTATAGAAAAAAAAATTATATCTCCATATCCATCTCCATCCTGAATATTGTTTATCCAATATAGAATCAGTCAGTGCGGAGCTTATCTCAGGAAGCACAGGGCACAAAGGCTTGGGGCACCCTCTGTTGAGAGTTCCCTTTTGCCTAATGTACACTGTCTAAGGTCTAAATTTCACAATATCAAGTCACTGAGAGAAAAAACAACATGTGGTAACTCAATCAGCCTTCAGTTCCTCAGACTCTACCCCTAACTTCCCTCACTGTATGCTGAAACATAATCTTTATTGTAGGGCTTCGATGCTCAGGCTAACACATAAGCAAACTGAGCGCTAGACAAAGAGCATTTATAGCTCGGGGGGGGGGGGGGGGGGTTGTCGACAAAGGACACTAACTAACTATCACCGTCTCTAATGGCAGTGCATGAAATGTGGCCTTAAGGTTAGAGTTGTGGCAAATGAGATGGTACATCCACAACTCGACACCCAGTTATGTAGCTTAATCCGCTGCACTGAAGTAGACTTTAAAACCTTTATGTGCCATTCAGTCCACACCAAACACGAGGTGCAATGGCTGTCGCTCCAAAACCGAATTCCAGGAACCAGTTGAGGCTGAGCTCCACTCAGGTCCTGTCAGAGGATGCAGGTTGCACTGGACGGTGCTGGCTCCTCACCTGGATCATGTAGAGCTGCGCGATGCGGTACTCCTCCACACTCATGGGCATGGGGATGCGGTACTCTTTGATCAGCATGGTGAACCAGGGTGGGGGGTGGGGGTGGGGGAGGGGGGTCTGGTTGGTTTCTAGCTGAGTTTTGTCAAAGAACCGCTGTGGAACTCATTGATGAAACCTGCAAGAAGAGGAGAAAACGTGGTCATATACTGGACATGATTAACAGGCCTCTGTTGAAGTACTCAAAGGTATTTTCTCCAGCTGCTACTGCAAGTAAAAAGCACTTGCATTACTCATCACAAGTTTAAATCCCTGCCAAGATACTTCTGCTTACAATCACCTGTTTTCTTGAAAACCCACATTTTCAAGAGTGTATCCTCTTGGAGAAGACAAAGTAGAGTGAACAATATGTTCCCTGGGGCACCATTGCCAAGGTTCCTCCCACCAACTGCATGAAGGGCCCATGCTGGACAGTGCCAGCTTTGTGTGTTTCCATGGTGGGGATTGGTTTGCACTCATTTTGTGCTCCCTCCACCCTTCAAATTGCACGAATGCCCATATGAGCTGTTGTGCAAAAGCAGACAAGCTTGCTTAAGTCTAAGGTGGATAATTTCAGGGGGTTGTCACACAACTCAGTCTGAAGCAATGCAGAGGCAGGAACTGAAGGAATCATGCATCTGCACTTCTGGCTCTACGTTGACTTGGACTCGGAAGGGTTACATGGTTTATCCTTGAAATCCCCCACTTTACCGAGGGGAATCACATGAGATGCAAAGCTCTTCCTCACTGGTTTTCTGTCAGCCATCACTGCGTGACATTGTTATGAAAGCCCAACAATTGCCGGCACCCCCTCCCAAGGCTTATAACCTACAATCTTCTACTAATCAGCTAATATTCCTGCTGCTCAATTCCCAGAACAAGGGCTGCCTGGTACACAGGCTTAGTGAAGGCCAGTGGCAATGCGACCGGTGACACGCTTACTCTGTGACTTCCCCCAGTAGTATGATTGCCAGGAGCATGGACAGGTAATCCCCGCCCTCTAGGGGGAGCCATTCTTAATTTTACTATTGCAATGAACTATTTAAAGGTGTCATTTGGAAAAATTAAATAATGGCACTCTTAAAATCAGTTAAACTGGCATATGACAATAACATCAGAACAATGGGAGTTTCCTTTCAACGGGCCAACGGGACAGCCCGCTTTCCCATTGTAGTCTACACATGTGGTCTGCATCCCACCAGTGAAGAGAATGCAGTCAAGGAGGACACGGGTGCTTTGTGCCCTGCTAAAAATATAACAAAACCCCAGGTGACACTCAAAAATAAAAGTGGGTTAGAGCTCAAGAATGAGACGGAAGCGGGAAAGAAGCTGGCAAGGCAAGTAAACCCGGATACCATTGGGGCAGGGAAGCCGCTAGGCCACATCCCTCTGTAAAGGCACCACTTCCAGTGGTTGGTGACCAAGAGGACAGAACCCACAGGGCAGGAACCTGAGACAACTATCCTTTCACAGTAGTGATTTTCAAACTGGTCCTTTTTGACCCCCAGACAATCCATGTTTTTGCTTTACCAGGAGCTGGGAGGGAGCAAAAATGTGGACTGTCTGGGAGTCCCCAAGGACCGGGTGGAGAAACACTGTTTTACAGAGAGTGTTAAGGCAGAACATAATGGACTGTCCTCCTCCTGTTGTGAAAAATAATAAGGCCACTGCTGGGCAGCTACACACTCGTCACGAAGGAAAAATCAATGTGAAACACAGGGGTCGAAGATTAAAGAGCCCACACAAAAAAGCAGAAAGAAATTTTGTAGGATTTTCTAAACAGTGAATCCTAAAATAAATAAAAATACACACAGAATTTCCTTGCTACCTCTAATTCACAAAAATTCTCTTTATGCCCCATCAAAAAAATATAACGCAAAACAAAAATCAAAAAACAAGAAATCTGCAGTACAGACATGTATGCTATCAATAAATAAGTAGCAATAAATAAAGCAGTGGCTTTGAGGGCTGAAAAGCTTCAAAAACTTGAATAAAAACAGAAATGCACTGGTCACTAATCATTTCACATTGTTATACAGCGGTACCTCAGTTCTCGAACTCATTAGAACTCGAATTTCTTAAAAGTCGAACGAACCAGTTTGAAAAAAAATTACCTAGAAATCGATCGGAATCTCAGAGGTCAAACCGTGAACGCCGACCTAAGATAACTTGTACGCGAGGGGAAATGAGTCACATGGCATGTCTCTCAGCGGAAACATAGGGTAACGCTTCAGTCTAAGCCTGCATTCGCTGTGATAGCATTGTGCATGTTTACACTAGCTGAATACATATATTTAGACAGTAAAAATACATTTAGACAATGGTAGACAGTAACAGTAATTATTATATAATAAAATACATGTAAAAATAAAGATTTCTTATTAATTATTTTAATATTAATAATAAACCATTAATATATTTAATTATAATATTGTCCTGCCAAGCGGGGACGGAATGGAGACAAAGGCGTACACGTCAGGGTATCGGGGAATACGGGGTTTAATTACAGGTAAGGCAGGCAAAGCGCAGACGGACAATACAATGACCGGGCTGGGGAAACAAACTGAAATGCGTACTAAATACAGAGGACTAATGACAACAACCAGAAACAGCTGATCACACGGGGATTCCACACGGGGTTAACGAGGGGGCGTGGACGATCGGGGCATGACACATTGTTTATTTTTTTTTACTTTACACATTGTTTGGATACATTTATTTTCTTACTTTAAAAATTAATGTTTTGATAAATTTGCTTAGATGTTTTTAGTACAGTATATGCTTTTCTTGTTTTGTCCGGTTCATTTTGTGTTTAAATGCTAAAAAAACATATTTTGGTGTATTTTTTTGGGGCCAGGAACCAATTCATTGGTTTTCCATTATTTCTTATGGGGAAAATTCGATCAGAACTTGAACTTTTTAGGATTCGATCCGGAGTTCTGAACGGATTCATTTCGAGTTCTGAGGTACCACTGTATATTCCCAATTACAGCATGTTACACTTGTTTTCAGATCAAATCCTGTTACCACTTTTTCCTTCAGGTTAACATGAAAAACAATTAGTGTACCCCATATATATGACAGTTTCAGAAGCAAGGAGTACAGTTAGTCAGGAATATGGTTAAGCATATCTGCTATCCTGCAGCCTGCTCGGCAAAGGGTAGCATATTGACATGGCTGACTCTCCCCCAGCCTTTGCCCAATGTCTACATTTGAATGCTTTTATAAAGTTGGTGAGAAAAAAAGCTACTGCTACTCCAGCAGCTTGTTTCTGGTACATATCGACACATTTTGGCACACTCCAGAAGATTCTGCCAGCTTCCAGTATAAGAGGTGAAAGATGTTTTCCAGTTGATGTTCTGCTGTGGCATTGCTGTGTCTGAAGAATAACCTGATCTCTCCTATTGTATTGTAAGAATGGCAAGCTTTAGACAAGAGCATCCAATAAAATCTGTTGGACTACATCAGGTAGGAAAGACCTGTCAAGCAAGTCTAAAGGGTCAGCTGGCGTTCATCTCCAAAAAAAGAAGTCCAACCATGACTCTCCAAAACATTACTTCCTCCAGCATATTGCTTGTTTCCCGACCAGCCCTGCTTTTACCCAACAAACAGGTCCTCTAATATAATTCTGCTACTGTAACAGAATAGTGGAGATCTTGAGAAGATTTGTTTGAGTCAATTTTGTCTGAGATTCGCAATTCAATTTTGTCTATGAAGTCCATAAAAATCCTTTGTTAGGCGAGTTAAGTTACTGTGCTGCTCTGAGCAAGAAAAGCACTTCGAGCCGAGCTGAGCATGACAGGCATGAGTAGCAGCTAAGCTGCAGAAGCATGAAGGGAGGATACATTTATAACCTCCGCAAAAGTTAATTTTATTCACTGTATATCAGAACCTTGCATATCGGAAATGGAACTTAAGTTCCACTGCACCATCAATGGAAAACTAGCCTTCTGATTACCAACAATATTCATCCTGTTGAGTGATGTCAAGTGACATTTTCACAGGAAGCCAAGACAAATTTGTAGCTTTCTTGTATTTAGTCAATGAAAACCTGGCCGATCTTCTGCAGATTGCCATTAATCCAGTATTGTGTCAATCCATCACTCTTCAACAACCACTCACTCAATACAGTGTCACACTAAGCTTGGAGCACAGGGCACAAGGCAGGGGACACTCTGAATGGGACCCTAATTCCTGGTGTTTAAAGTTTAAAATAGTCCTAGACCAGGACATTTATTTTTTTATATTTTCTAGCCCTCTGTTTTTCAGGACTCCTTGGTACTCTTAAAGGTAAAGAACGGGGTAAACCTTTTCTAAGTTGAGAAATGTATAAAACCACTCACCAGCCAAGTAAATGATCAATATTCCACTCTTTTTATTCTATTATATGAGTCCCAGCCAAAATAACCATGAGGAACACCATATGAAACCTCCAAACTTCATGCATACTACCCCTTTAACAAGACCAATGTGACGTGCTTATCATCTGTTGAAAAATCTGTTGATGCAACCTCATAACAGAGTTTCATACACTAAAATGACACTAATTCCTGACAGCTTTTTGAGTCAACGGGTCAGCATTTCTCAGCTAGAGCTGGATACAGACTTTGTGTGCATCCTTATTTTGAGCATTCTCACACAGTGTGCTTCAGTAACTCAACCCGCCCACTTATTCAGGGAGAGATGCAAGTTGCCTGCTGTAATGAACAGCATTTGGCAAAAGCCTAGCATAATGGCCTACTGTACCAGGCTGACTGACTGTCTGCTACCTGCAAGCGGAAATTATTAACATATACGGACTACATTTGTCGGCTATGACAGCAGATACCGGTAGTCATAACCGTGTTTCAATGGTTAGCATGCACTTATCAGACACATGAGCAACCTGACCTACCTGACATGCCTTTGTGAAAACTTAATTTGTCAAGCCAACTGTCCTGAACAAAACAGATGTTATATAGGCTAATGCTAATGTTCTCAGACATTTGGAATATGATACAGAAATATCGACCCTTGGAGCACTGGGCAGACATCAAACTGCATGGTTACAATCTGCACAAC